TCTAAGCATGACACTACTTCTCCAAGCATTGCTTGGCTCTGAAGGCCGGCTGCCTTCAACATTAAGTAGGTCAATTTCATAATTAAAATACAGCAGGATTAACACTGAGATTGGGGGTGGTTCTCTTGGGCAGCTCTGCTGAGACATTAACTAGTGCAGTGTCCCTCTTTATGCATGTTGTATCAGGTCCAAAAATCCATCTGCATTATGCTCAAAGGTTTTTTAAGTCAGAAGCAGGTAACCAAAGCCAGTTAGTTGCTCAAATAAAGGCTTTATTTTATCATAGAATAACCATGAACAGAGAAACAATCCTAGTGATTCCTGGATGAAACAGAACCAAACATGAAGGTTATGAAAATCATGACCTCATGACCAGGGAGGGCTCTTAGCCCCCTGCATGCTGCACGTCATGCTTATCCATGTGTGTGCTGTGTGGACAGAAAGGTCTATACTTCACCTGCCCATGGATGGCCCTGCTCTTTCTGGGCATCCAGAGCACAGCACTGCACGCTGGCTGTCAGTGCTCCTGCTGCCCTGGATGAGGACAGATGTGGTCGACGTGGTGCTGTGTCTGTGGGCAGCTGCTTCACCTCAAGGAAACCAGAGGCCAGTCTGTGCAGCAATAAGGGTTACAGTAAAGAGAAGGACTAACGTGCAAAGGAATGATGGGGTATGAAGGAGGCACCAGGATATCCATAAAAGGAAGACAGACTTCACACATCTCAAGTATTTTGAAATCAGGTAAAGCTCACAAGAAGACTTTTCCACACATCTTCAATTATTTCTTGCTGCATTGATTTGAATTTACAAAAGATTTGATCAAGTCCCTCACCTAAATCTTTTTAAAAAGTGAGACTGCCATGCATCAAACTGGATGGTTTTCTTGGTTGGAGGTTAGAGGAAGCATTTGGAGATGTTTGGCATTTTCAGGGGAGTGAGGCCACTGGGGGTATCCATAGGGATCCACATTAACACTGGGCTGTTCAAGATTTCCCCCCATGATCTACAAAGTGGGCAGGGATTAAGACCATGTTTGAGGATTACGCAGAGCAGTAAAAACTGAAAGGTAACCACAAGGAAATGCTGAAGCATTTTAGAATACCATGGTTAGAAGATGGAACAACAGGTGAAATTCAGTATAATAAGATGAAAGGCACCCAGTAACCTCTGTACATTGCACTTACATCCCTCAGGCTCCTTCAAAGATACAACATCCTTGTCACTAAATTGGAAAGAGATGGGTTTGATGGGTGGACTACTCGGTGGATAAGAAATTGGCTGGAAGGCAATATCCAAAGAGTTTCAGTCAACAAACATCTCAATGTCCAGATGGAGATCAGCAACAAGTGGTGTCCCTCAGGGGTCCCTGTTGGCACTGATAGTATTTAAAACTTCATCAGTTGTAGTTGGGGGGGGTTGAGTGCAGGTCTGCAGATGACACTGAGCTGTGTGGTGCAGTGGACATGCTGGAGAGAAGGAATGCCATCCAGAGAGACGTGGACAGTCTTGAGGAGTGAGTGCATGTGAACCATGTGAAGGTCAACAAAGCCAAGTGCAAGGTCCTGCACATGTGTTAGACCAATCCCCAGTGTCAATACACACTTGGGGGGGATCCATGGATGGAGAGCAGCCCTGCAAAGGATTTGGAGATAGATACAAAAAAAAAAATGGACATGAGATAATGTGTGCCTGCAGCCCAGAAAGCCAAACATTTCCTGGGCTGCATCACCAGCAGGTTGAGGGAGGTGATTCTCCCCCTGTACTCTGCTCTGGTGAGAGCCTGCCTGGACCACTGCATCCAGTTCTGGGGCCCACAGTACAAGAGACATGGACCGGTCAGAGAAGGGCTGTGAAAACACAGGGCTTGAATGTCTCTCCTATGAAGAAAGGCCGAGGGAGTTGGGTTGCTCAGCTTGGAGAAGAGGAGGCTTCGGGGAGACCTTATTGCAGCCTTAGGCATATAAAGTGGCTTATAAGAAAGATGGAGAGACTTTTCAAAAAGGCTCGCAGTGACAGGGCAAGGAACAATGGTTTCAAACTGAAAGAGGGTAGAGTTAAGTAGGAAGACTTCTTATGATGAGGGCTGTGAGACACTAGCCCAGAGAAGCTGTGGATGCCCCATCATTGGAAATGTTCAAAGTCAAGTTGAATGGGGTTTTGAACAACCTGATCTAGTGAAAGGTGTCCCTGCCTATGGCAAGAGAGGTAGACTAGACAGTCTTTAAAGGGCCCTTCCAACCCAAACCATTCTGATTCTTTATTCTATACCTGTATTTGCAAGATGTTGCAGATGCAACTGATCTCAACAACAGACTGAGCAGTAGCCTCATGGATGCTTTAACAGTTGTAAGCCATAGTACAATTAGCTGTTTTATTAATGTTAATTTATAGCCCTGGATACACGTTGTTGCGGATTCCCTGATTAAAATACCTTCCTCATGGCTGTTTTCCAGTGTTCTCAGAGCAGTAGAGCACAGCTACAGTTATACTGGGTAGCCTGCCTTAGTCTATCTACAGCAAGATGCAGGTGCTCCTGCACAGATCACACTCCTCAGCAGCAGTGGACTATGCTGGTGCAGCAGTGCTATCACCTTTTACCAGCTTGAGCCAATCCAGCAAACAATCTGCTGTAACACTAATGGAATATGAATGGACTACTGGATAAGGATTCTTTTCCACACACAATATTATGTGGGAAAATATGTTGTTGATGTAACTACAAAATCCAGGTGGTCACAAAGTATCCACCTGGAAGTGTAATTTAGAAAGCAGGTCTGGTCAGTAACTCACAAATTACAGTAAAAAGGACTCTAGACTGAAATTCACTAAGAAAAACCTACTTTAATTCATTGGTTTATCTTGTCCATCTATTGGATGGGAAGGCAGTAAACATGTGTGGTCAAAGGACAGCTGTGTAGATTACTGAAGAGAAGTAATGCAGACATCTCAACGGGACCAAAGCATGCAGGAAAACCAAGTGGGCAGGTTGGGGTGTGTTGTGCAAACAGGGATGGAACCAAGAACACTACACAACAAACAGACAAAAAAACCCCACATTCCTGCACTGGCGACACTTTATTTTGTTGTCTTCTGACCTTGCCCACCTTCCTGCACACCTTACACACCCTGCATACGAGCCCACTTATTTATACTTTCAGCACAGCACTGCAACAACAGTGAACGGCTGGTTCCAAAAGGCCACGTAACCACTGCATGTAAATCACAATGGAGCACTACATACTGTCTCACTACCATACATGTGTTAATCCTCATGAGAGACAGACCATGCTCCGCTGCGGTCTGCTTCGCTTACTGATAGCATTTAAACTGATATTTACTGATAGTGGAGAGGCAGTTACTGAGAACACCCTTGGCCTTACAGCACTTCCCATTGTCAGGGCCAGTGTGATTATTCTGGTAATCACACATATTCAGGTTAGACATTAGGAGGAAGCTCTTTATTGTGAGGGTGGTGAGGCCCTGGCACAGGTTGTCCAGAGAAGTGGTAAAATGCTCCATCCCTCACAGCATTCAAGGGCAGGATGGACAGTCTTGGGACACATGGTCTAATGTGAGGCATCTCTGCCCATGGCAAGGGGGTTAGAACTAGATGATCTTAAAGTCCTTTCCAACCCAAACCATTCTATGATTTTATATGTAAGTCCACCAATTCACCAGGCACTGCAAAGGCTTCTCTGTGAGTTTCAGAACCAACAGCTCTGTTAGACAATGAAAATTCACAGGGAGATAACACAGAGCCAGTTGCCTATTTTCTTGCCTGGAAAATTGCTAATTTTGCAGCTTCCTGGTACAGTGAGTCTCTGGATAAAAGAAATTCTGGAGAACCCATTCTCTGAAAGACAGAGTAGGACTGCCTGTGGTGCTGCTTCCTACTAGCTTCTGCTGCATTTATGGAGCACAGGAAGATATTCCCTATGATCCAGAGTTCATGCCAACATGTGGCTTAGAATAATTAACCCTTTTCTTTTAATCTTTTTCACACAGGGAAGCCACAGCTAATATACCTCATTCACACAAAGGAAGCAGTATTGGAAAGAAGCAGGTGATGTAACACAACGAAGGTGCCATTCACAGCACAGAAAAAAAGGATGCTATAGGAGCACGGGCATGACAAAGAACACCACTGGCAAGGCAGTTCAATGGGACCTGGGTTTTAGAATCAGCAAGACTGCTACTGTATATATGCACTGTCTTGAGTCTTTCAGACTCAAGTGAGTCTGAAACAAGTAGTATTCAGAAGGCTCAAGAAGACCACCTCGCTGCATTAGTTACTGGGGGTTTGTAGGGTCAGTGAATCTCCAAAAGGCTGGAGAGTATTTATTCCTGACTGGACTGGAAGACCCTTTACATACATTTAATGCCCAGTGCTACAGAAGACAGATGCCAGGAGAATATTGGGTTCCTGACAAGGGTAATAATTATGTACCATCACTTCCGAGCACACCAGAGCTCACATGCTACTGTGTGGTGCTGAGCCTAAGCATCAGACAGTGCCTTGTGCAACAGAGTGGAACACACACTAGGGATGTATTTCCTGCCTGTTGGCTGCCTTGCTGACGACAGGACAGTTACAGGGCAAGCTAAAACCTTTGTATTCTGCACAGCACTGTTTAGTTTGTGTGCATACTGTGCAAGAAAGGATTCCCCCTTTAAAAAGACCTAAACACTGTGCTGGTCAGTCTCTTAGAGGAAGAACTGCTATAAAAAAACCCTGATCTCACCCATCAGAGGAAGATTGCGTAACAGACACCTGCCGTACTGGAAACCACTAAACAAGCAACTAATGTGACCCAAACTGAGACTGTAACCACAGCAGTAACTACACTGGGTACACTGCTAGTGCCACTGTTCAGGGGTACTACAGCAGGAGAGGCATCCTCTGTACCACAGCTTTGGTTTGAAGTCTCTCACAAATGACCAGAGGCAACAGTCTCAAAATCAAGGTCACTGAGTAGAATGGAGTCACAGTCCCAAAGATACTCAGTTGCTTATATCAGTGTTGTGGGTTATGAGCTTGACAGAGGTGGGGCTTGTAACTGAAAAGCTTTAGGATTATTCCTTCTCTTCTAGGGATTTACTTCCGGCCTCGCTTGTGGCTGGTTTTTGGAAATTCGGCTCTCTGTGCAACTTGGGGCTCCCCCTCCTCACTGCTCGCACTCTCATTGTCCACCCGCGTTGGACGACCTCTCTTAGTTCTCCTAATTTTCTCAACTCCAGCAGTGGGGAGTTTCTTGACAGCCAGGGTCGCGGTTCTCTTCTTTTTCCCCCTGCTCAAAGGACGTTTCTTCCGTTGCTTCCTCTGCTCTTCTCTTTGGCGGATTTTCATTAGCTTCTCAAAGCTTTTGGTGGTAGTTGTATTCACATCAAACCAGTCCTGCAGGGTTGAGAGGGTAACAGGTTGGTATTGATGATGGAAATACTATATAAAGACTATCAGGGCTTATAATAAAGTTGCTTTGTGGAACAATGATTTCCTGAAATGTGAGATCTGGAAAAGCAGCTGCCTAACAAAGCTCTGTTCTTTGATGTTCCTCCTCAGGTGTCACTGTCTCAGAGATTTGATCTGGCTGTTGCTAAAGGCATGGGAAATGCTGAATTGCTGAACTGAGCAGCAGCAGCAACTGGGGACAAGACATGTGACATGACACAGTACTTGTTCCCCAGACCAACGCATACGAAACAAATCGAAGGCCACTGAGTCTAGGATCCTGTTCCCAACAGCGAGCAAGATAAAAATAAAACAGGGCGAGCATCCAGCATTTCCTTCCCTCCAACAACCTGGGGTGTGAAGACTTCCATTCTGCCTGCCTTACCTCAGCGTGCATGGAGTTGATGTGATACTTGACTCCACTCTCTGAAATGAACTCCTTCTCACACAGAAGACACTTGTATTTACCAGCCACAAAGTCTCCCTGGCAATAAAACAAAAAAATACCCTCACCAATTGCTGCCTAGAAGGCTGATACACCTATATATTGTATTTGAATTTGGCTCAGATATAAGCCAGCCGTAGGAAGTAGAAACTCTTACTCATACCAGACAATGATTTAGCTACAGCAGCACTGACATTATTTACCAGTTATGCCTACAAAGCATCTCATCTTGTAACATCTGTGAGATGTTACAAGGCCTCCAGCACTGCACCTGGGAAAAATGTTCTTGTAGCTGTGAATCTACAGGCAGGACTGCAGTTTCACTAAAATGCATGCCATTTAGATGCTTCCTCCTTGCCTCAAGCAGTGTTCGCTATGGCAAACCCATCAGCTCATATGGAAGCACTCAAGACTGTGAGGAACTCAGATTAGCAGATGGCAGGACAACAGCTTGAACAAGCACATATGTGAGGGATAGGGATGGTAAGGCTACTGGTATAAAAGACAGTAGAGGAAGGTTACCAACCAAGGTACACGTGCCAAGGTGAGATTTGAGTCCTGAGACACTGCCATATACAGATTCACAACCCTGAAACAGTAAAAAAAGTTCATGTCAGCAAAACTCTAGTAAGAAATCAGTTCTTCCTGTCTTATTCTCTGGAAGTAAATTCCAAAAGGGATAAGAGAGGCAGATGAAGGGAGATACCGAGCCCTACAAAACAGGAAGCTTCAGGTAAAATGACTGTTAAGAGACTTAAGCTTTCAGTAAGTTAAATGCTTCCAGTTTCTGAGCAAATTTAGACATAATAATCCTGTTACTGTTAACTTCTATCAAAAGCCTGACAGAGTTTGCATTTTGCGTGAAGAGCAGCACAGCAGATGTTAATTTTAAACAAAGCACAGGGTAAGTACAAGACAAGTCTCTCTCTCCTGCCCTGCTCTTGTATTCAGTGGCACACAAGTACTGCATCCAACATCAATGGTCTCAGTTAAAGGGCAGCTTTACAGTCCCCATGTGGAGCTTTAAGCATCAGTCTCAGGATACTAGACCACGCTCAGCCAACAGCCCAGACCCTGGAACAGGAGGTAGGTGCAAGACATTCTTCTGGGTTACTGGTTGGTGCAATAGGTCACTTGCTTTTGGGAGACAGCTTCACGTAAAATGTTATGCTGCAATTCTTTTACTTGAAAACGATGCAAGCCTGAAAACTGGGGAGAAAGCGCTGGGGATGGGGTAGGGCAGGGGGAAGAGAGACAAACTGCAGTTTCATAGTTGTGGAAACCTGTCCTGAAATCTGTCCCCTTTGAGGCTTTGGAAACAAGCACTTAAAGATTACCTCATTTGGGCAGTGAACTCTTCGGTACATCTTTATCTCAGTTTTCCATTTGCACAGCACATCTTGACTAAATGTTGGCAGTCCAGGACGAGTATATTTCAGCTGAGATAAAGAGATGGAATTGAAAGCTGGAAGCAACATTGGCTATGCTTAGTGCCAAGTACATCCCTTTCTCTCCCAGAGACAGAAGTGCTATTTCTTCTCCTGCTCTAACAGCCAAACTCTAAATAACCAACCTTTTTCTGTCTCCTCTCTTCAAACATAACTGAATCTATAAAACCCTCACGATACCAGAATCCAAAGCTTCCCTTACCTTTGACTACAACAGTTCCTCTAAATGTACTTATCCCATTAAAATCATAAATCATCCTTTTCCCTTGGGTTTCCTTTACAGCCTAAAAGATACTCCTGGAGCCTCCAAAGCCTGAAAAACTATAAAATGTCATTGCATGGCAGAAGTGACCTGCAGCCTATGGCTTGTGAGCAACATACTGCCTATAACTGCCTTTGTTACTTGTGCCCACTGAAAATGACAGCAATAGGACTTGAAAGTCATTACAGCCTGGATAAAATACTTCTACCACAGCAACTGCTACTATAGCAATACCATAATCTAAGAACAGAGAGAGCAAAACCCGATCCCTCCCACAAGACGTTACTTCTTCAATATTACTTTGCATGGGCCATGAAGCACTGGCAACATTGGGTAGATGTCAGTGAAAGACTCATCTCTTATGAAGAAAGACTCAAACCCTACATAGCATTTTTAAGGCCTTGTACCTTGCGATCATCTGGAATCAAGTCTTGCAGAACTTTTCTCTTGGGCCACTCTTTGGCCAGCTCTTCTCCAGCTAGCTCATGGAGATAGTAGATTGCCACCTTAGCAGATCTCCTCTGAACTCTGCCTGTGCTGTTTGGCTCCCGTTTTGTTTCCTTCAGGCTCTCTGTTCTTCTCTCCTCCTGGAGGAAAGTGACCTGCAATGAAGGCCAAAAAAGGTGAGCCTCCTCCACTGGTTCCTATTTCAGTTAAACTAAATACTGTGAAGAAATATACCGCTAAACCCTTCACAAAAATGCTGCAGCAGCTGTGATTCACTGTCACAGAGAGAGGACAGAAATGCATCCCACTAGTGAGACAGACCCCCACAACTATTCAAGGGGCCACAGCAGTAAGGCTCAAGCAGAGATTTTCATGCAGCCGCTGGTCTTGAAAGGATATCACATCATTTATTGTAAAACCCTCATGGACAACAAGCATATTACTGCCTGTTCTGCTCCAGTGTTGGGTCTTTTAAGAGCAAAAAAAGGTGTCTCACAAGTCACACATGTCAGCATCATTATTCCATGGAGCAAAAGTCAGATAGGGAAAAGTTTACTGCTGCCATGGTGATTTACTGTTAAAAACTTTTTCCTAGTCACAAACAGCAACAGCTGCATCTAGAAAAAAGAAGTATCAAGGACAGAACACTCTATTTGCTATCCCTCATTACCCACCCAAAGACAAAAGCCTACGTGTGTCTCGACTCTGAGCAGCTGAAGTAAGACCACAGTATCCTGATAACCACGGCAATTTGCACTTACCGGCCCATGCTTAGATCGGAGATGATAGACAAGTCCTGCCTTTGATCTGTATGCTTTTCCACAGTGATGGCACTTCATAGCCATTTTCTCCAGCTCAGAAGCTGCCTTCCCACATTTTTTAACATGATACAGGTATCCCATTATGCTAGTGAAGCTGCCTGTGCAGCCCTGTCAATGCAAAAGAAAATTGCATGGAAGAAAAGCATTTTCCAAGTAATCACAATCCACAGTTTGCTGACCAAACTACTATCACTTTTCCTGCCAGGCCAGAGACAATCAGGCAGTAAACTTTAATGTTAGCATATTATAGAATCATAGAATAGTTAGGGTTAGAAAGGACCTTAAGATTATCTAGTTCCAACCCCTCTGCCATGGGCAGGGACACATCACACTAAACCATATCACCCAAGGCCTCGTCCAACCTGGTCTTGAGCACTGCCAGGGATGGAGCATTCACAACTTCCCTGGGCAACCCATTCCAGTGCCTCACCACCCTAACAGGAAATAATTTCCTCCTTATATTCAATCTAAACTTGGCCTGTTTAAGTTTGAACCCGTTACCCCTTGTCCTATCACTACAGTCCCTAATGAAAAGTCCCTCCCCAGCATCCCTAAAATCTAGCACAAAGAATTGTCTGCAACTGGGAGAAGCTGTTTCTTAGAACTTCTTTGTAGGTAGTGGGCAACAGAAGAAATCAATATATGGAATGAAGAAGCAAGATGTTCAATGAGGATGCACAAAACAAAGATTTTCAGATATAAATGGAGGAAGTGGGCAGAAAAGGAGGAAGGTTTTACACTCGGTTGGCTACTCTGTCTAGAACACAGCTATATTAGGGTGATGGCAAGTAAAACTTTCAGCTATTCCTAGGATACAGCTACTGTCTCATGCTGCAGCAGAGGACAAGAAAACCTCAACGGTTTCTGCGATTGTCAATTACTAGAGTATCCCCTAACCCTAAATCCAATGATCAGCTTGGCACTGAGCTTGGAAACAGGAAAAATAAAACATTCACCAGCAAGAGAAGAGATTCAGAGCAGCCCTGCGGAGAAGGACTTGGGGGTGTTGGTCGATGAGAAAATGAACATGAGCCAGCTTCAGTGTGTGCTCCCAGCCCAGAAGGCCAACCATATCCTGGGCTGCATCAAAAGGAGCGTGACCAGCAGGTCGAAGGATGTGATCCTGCCCCTCTACTCTGCTCTTGTGAGACCTCACCTGGAGTATTGTGTGCAGTTCTGGTGTCCTCAACATAAAAAGGACATGGAACTGTTGGAACAAGTCCAGAGAAGGGCCACGAGGATGATCAGGGGACTGGAGCACCTCCCTTATGAAGACAGGCTGAGGAAGTTGGGGCTGTTCAGCCTGGAGAAGAGAAGGCTGCATGGAGACCTCATAGCAGCCTTCCAGTATCTGAAGGGGGCCTATAGGGATGCTGGAGAGGGACTCTTCATTAGGGACTGTAGTGATAGGACAAGGGGTAATGGGTTCAAACTTAAACAGGGGAAGTTTAGATTGGATATAAGGAAGAAATTCTTTCCTGTTAGGGTGGTGAGGCACTGGAATAGGTTCCAAGGGAGGTCATGAATGCTCCGTCCCTGGCAGTGTTCAAGGCCAGGTTGGGTGAGATGGTTTAGTGTGAGGCGTCCCTGCCCATGGCAGAGGGGTTGGAACTTGATGATCTAAAGGTCCTTTCCAACCCTAACCATTCTATGATTCTAAGTTTTTTATGTTCTTAGATATAGCCCTTCATCCCTTTCTCTAGCTGTGGCCAATCTCAGTATTTCAAAAACCCACATACACACAGTTAATGATGCATAAGAACACCTTCCCAGCTATCACAAACTACTAAGGAAAGAGCAGAAATACATATTAACAAAATACTTTCGGAGCACACAAGAAACAATCCAATGTCCTCCTTATCCACTTTGAAGGCACTAGCTCATCAAATACTCAGAGAGTCTAGCTCACTCTGCTTGAACACAGGGGTTGAACTAGATGACCTTAGAAATTCCCTTCCAGCCTTAACAATTGTGTAATTCTGAGAGCAGTTTATAATACTGTTTGGAGTACTGCACTCAGCTCTGGAGTCTTCAGTACAGGAAAGACATGGACCTGTTGAAGTGGGTCCAGGGGATCATTTGATCAGAGGGCTGGAACACCTCTCCTACAGACAAGCTGAGAGAATTGGGCTTGTTTAGCCTGGAGAAGAGAAGGCTCTGGGGCGTGATTATTGCAGCCTTTTTATACTACAAGAAAGACAGGAACAAACGTTTTAGTAGGGCCTGTTGTGATGAGCGGTAATGGTTTCAAACTAAAAGAGGGTAGTTTTAGACTAGATACCCTTTTGTACAGTGAGGGTGGTGAAACACTGGAATGGCTTTAACCAGAGAGGTAGTGAATGCCTCATCCCTGGAAACACTCAAGGTCAGGTGCGACAGGGCTTTGAGCAACCTAATCTAGCTGAAGATGTCCCTACTCATGGTAGGGAACGGGTGGACTAGATGACCTTTAAAGGTCCCTTCCAACCCAAACTATTCTATAATTCTATGATATTCTGTCTTAAAAGCATAGCTAGGATCTTGAAACAAACACAGCTGTGGCCAGCACAAAGCATACCAAGCAGAGCTCTCGATGTTTTAGGTCTGTGTACCTGCTGCTGGTTAATTCCAGATACTTAGCACAATATAGCTTACCTCCCTCGTACACTTTAGTTTTCCCATACGCTTCAAAATCTTCCGAAGGCGGTCTCGCTCAAGCTGCTCATCCAATTCTCCTCCCTCCTTCACAACCGGCTAAAGCACAACAAAAAAAAATAAAGAAAACCACAGGATGCTCAGCATTTACAGTTCTTCTCATAGGGAATTCCCTACTCAGCACACTACTGAAGGACAGCTTCTAAAGTAATTAAATCTGCACAACTTATGATTTTACAGAAGTGTACCTAGTATAGCAATCACTGTCTATATCCCAGAACAACTGAGTTATCTTTAAAAGTGGTAGACCGCCTGAAAACCCCTTAGCAAATAAGAGTTTCAACATATAGATTTATACCTATGAATAAAACCTTCTTAAGAAACGGTCACAAACTATAGCTGCTGGGAAGAACAAGGGTATGTGTTCCCATTACTTTTCTCCCCTTCTGCCTGTGGAAAGTACTTACGCATGTGTGTCATGCCTCTGTTAACACTTATGGGTCCTACCATTACCACTAAGCCTAACTAAAGCTAAGCAGACTACCTGACAGTAGTGGTTGCTCACCTATGCTAAAATACAGCTCAAGTTCTTCTCTGTTCTCTGATGGTTACTGTATACTATTTCCTACACTACTTGATAATAATATTACACCCAGCCTGAAGAAAAAGTTAGAACTGGGTAACAGACCTATTTCTTGGGGCCAGAACATCATATCTGACCTATTTCATTTACTAGTACAGCTGTAGGTTCAGAAACCACAGTAGTGGGAACTATGTAAAAAATGTAAGTAATGTATTATCTAAACCTTACCCAAACTTATGACTGATCTTTTCAAAAGTTTTAAATTGTCACAACTAGTCCCACTGACTATTACCCACTTCTAGTTGCCCATGTGGGTGCTATTGATATAGATAGCAGTAGCCCAGAGAACATTAAGGGATACAGAGCCCTGGGAGAGGTGGTTAGGGGCTCTGGAGCTCAGATAGTCTTTTCATCAATTCTCCAGGTTAAAGGCGAACATCTTAAGAAGGCTAGGCAGATTTGGCAGGTTAATAAATGGTTAGAACAGTGGTGCCACAGTCAGGGGTTTGGGTATTTAGAACATGGGACTTGATTTGGGAGGTCAGGTCTACTGGAGGCTGGTGGAGATGACACGTTTTGGTAGGAGGCTTGCCAGGCTGGTCAAGAAAGCTTTAAACTAGATGTTTTGGGGGAGGGGGGCATCATTCCATCCCAACACTCCCAGTCAGTTGCCAGCACCTATAATAAATGCTCAGAGCAAAGCAGAGATATTTCAGGCGCTCCAGCCAATGAGCTGGCTTCATCTGGAGCTCAGCTCAGATGCCTCTATACAAACGCCCATAGCACGGGCAACAAGCAAGAGGAATTAGAGATGTGTGCATGTCTACAGGGATATGATACGTTATGTATCACAGAAACATGATAGGCTGACTCTTGCGTCTGAAGTGTTGGAAGGGAAGGTTACAGGCTCTTTAGAAAAGACAGACCTGGCAGACGGGGAGGGGGAGTTGCCCTTTATGTTAGGGATAGTCTGGAGAGTATGGATCTCTGTCTGGGGACAGGTGAGCAGTCAACAGAGAGTTTGTGGGTGAGGGTTAAAGGGAGAACAGCAATGGGAGACATCACTGTGGAGATCTGTTATAGGTCGCCTGATCAAGAGGACTCTGTGGATGAAGCACTCTATAGACAGACAGGAACAGCCTCACGCTCGCAGGCCCTTGTTCTCACAGGGGACTTCAAGCACCCTGACATCTGTTGGAGGGATGGTACACCCAGCACAAGCAAGCCAGGAGGTTTCTCAATTGTGTGGAAGACAACTTCCTTCTGCAAGTAATAGAGGAGCCGACAAGGAGAGGTGCCATGCTTGACCTCGTGCTCACCAACAGGGAAGGGCTTGTTGGAAATGTGACGCTCCAGGGCAGCCTTGGATGCAGCGATCATGAGATGCTCGAATTTGAGATCCTCAGGACAGTGAGAAGAGCGTGCAGCAAGCTCACTGCCCTGGACGTCAAGAGAGCAGACTTTGACCTCTTCAGGAACCTGCTTAGTAAGGTTCCATGGGATATAGCCAAGAGGGCAGGAGGGCCCAAGATTGTTGGTTGATATTCAAGGATCACCTGCTACAAGCTAAGGAGTGCTGCATCCCGACTAGAAGGAAGTGCAGCAGGATGGCCGGGAGACCTCCTTGTATGGATAAGGAGCTCCTGAGGAAACTTAGATGGAAAAAAGAGGCTTATAAAAGGTGGAAGCAAGGACAGGAGGCCTGGGAAGAATACAGGGATGTTGTCCAGGAAGCTAGGGACCAGGTCAGGAAAGCTAAGGCCCAGTTAGAATTAAACTTGGCCAGGGACGTGAATGATAGCAAGAAGGGATTCTATAATTACACTGCAAATAAAAGACAGACTAGGGACAATGTGGGCCCTCTCCAGAGGCTATCAGAACTGGTTACCCTGGATTTGGAGAAGGGTGAGGTTCTGAATGACTTCTTTGCCTCGGTCTTCACTGGCAAATGCTCTGAGCACACCACCCAAGTCCTGGAAGGCAGACGCAGGGACTATGAGAATGAAGACCTTGGGCCCACTGTAGGAGAGGATCTGGTTCGAGACCATCTTAAGAACCTGAACATGCACAAGTCCATGGGTCCTGATGAAATCCATCCGCAGATCCTGAAGGAGCTGGCAAATGAAGTTGCTAAGCCACTGCTCATCGTATTTGAAAAATCATGGCAGTCAGGTGAAGTTCCCAACGACTGGAAAAAGGGAAATATAACCCCCGTTTTCAAGAAGGGGAAAATGGATGACCCAGGGAATTACAGACCAGTCAGTCTCACCTCTGTGCCTGGCAGAATCTTGGAGCAGATTCTCCTGGAAGGCATGCTAAGGCACATGAAAATCAACAAGGTGCTTGGTGACAGCCACTATGGCTTCACTAAGGGGAAATCCTGCCTGACCAATTTGGTGGCTTCTATGATGGGGCTACAGAACTGATGGACAGGGGTAGAGCAGCTACAGGACAAGGGGTAACAAGTTAAAACTTAAACAGGGGAAGTTTAGATTGAATATAAGGAAGAAGTTCTTTACTGTAAGGGTGGTGAGGCACTGGAATGGGTTGCCCAGGGAAGTTGTGAATGCTCCATCCCTGGCGGTGTTCAAGGCCAGGTTGGACAGAGCCTTGGATGACATGGTTTAGTGTGAGGTGACCCTGCCCATGGCAGAGGGGTTGGAACTTGATGATCTTAAGGTCCTTTCCAACCCTAACTATTCTATGATCTTTTCTATGATCTATGAACTACAACAGGAGATATTGCCTTTTTTGAGTAAATAGCAGAGGAAAAGCAGATTGTAATCTCAGTATGACTAAACTGCTGCTTCTGGTTTTTGACCTTTGAACTAAAATCTAGTCTGCCCTGGATGTAGAAAAACTACATTCTAGCAAAGGACTGAAAATTGCAGCCTAATGAGCAATCATTTAATTTATTTTTTTTTTTTCTGATTGAAAACCAGCCTAAACAGAAATCCATCTTTTTTTTCTAAGCCCTATCATGCTGGCATCTCTATTAACGTTCTACTATTTTTTCAGATGTCAAATCTCAGAGGAAAAATAACAAGTAACAAGATTTGAACAGCCACAACATTTGAACAAACACACCATGTTCTGTTTCTCTGTGCACTGGGGAGGGAACAAAAGATTGTCTTGCCTGTAGGATTTTTAGATGCACAGCAGTTGTGTTACCTGATTGTTATGGTCTGCCATGACATGGTATCTCATCCCTCCTAAAGACTTCAGCTGCTTCCCACAGTGATGACATGTGAACATTTCCTGGAAGTAAACAAGGACAGTGTGTGTGTAACTAAGTTAACTGAAGCACTAGGAAACTCTTTGGGAGAAAGAAGAAAAGCAGAATATTTTATTTGGGCCTGGTAACTGCCCATTAAGAATAGAAGAGATCCCATGGAGTCTCATATTTAGGGGAACAATGAAATACCTAAACCTCTGTTCACTACCCCAAGCCTCCAGCAAAAGACTGAGCAAGAAGCAGCAAGCACAGCCTCTTACAGATGTATAAAGAACTTTTGCTTAGAGCCATGATGATGAGATGAAACTGGTTTTAAGTGCAACAAAGAACAGCGTACAAACATTTCTTCCAGTAAGGTGAAGAGAAGTAAAAAAAACATTGCTCATCTCTCTTGTTCTTACCTGCCTGCAATTTACCATATGTTTCTTCAGGCCTTCTACAGTCTTTCTCACCACAGCCCGACATGTTGGACAGGTAACTCGGCCTTTGTCCTGAATTTCCAAAGACCATTGCTCTTCCATACTGCCTGTCAAAACAAAAGGTTTGGAATAGAACTGCAAATGCAGTATCTTTTTGTTTTTTTTTCCTTTCCTTCCATATGAACTATGAATCCTAGAAGGAAACAAGTCACATGCTGCCAAACTCATGTTCAGATATACTTCAATGGTTAGTTCATTTGCAGCTTTAAAAGGGTCATGCGGCAAGGCACACATCACTCCTTTTGGGAGACCATTTTATAAGGAATCTTTAATCCTACCATTCCCTTGCAAGGAGTGTTCTTCCACCAGTTCAGTACAGATTTTTGGTTTATTCATTTACACAATTACATTAGCATGCAGGGGTTTCACAGTAAAAAGTAGTCACAGGTGTGACTGAACAGTTTCAGACAAAGTCCCGTGTTTCTGTTCTGCTAACCAGAGAACTCCATTTACATTGGTCAGCAGTTTTGGCACTGAAAGTGAACAAAACACCACTAGACCAAGTTATTAAACAGCCAGGGAAAAGTACCCTGTGTGGCAGTTTCCAGTTCCTCGCCTCTTTTTAACATGCCAAGCAAAAGCTTGGCATAATCCATAAGAACGATAAACTACTGAAATGGGTTCTGGATCATGGCTTAGCAGCTCATCTGCCTGAATTCTTATCCTAAAAATGACCTAAAGGCTTTCCTCTTTGCCCAGTAATAATAGGCAGGGGTTGTTTTTTCCAGGTGTCTGGGAATAAGTCTGTGAATCAAATAGCACTTGGCAGAAAACTGGGGTATTTTAATGAGTGCTGTGGGCTACACATACTGAGTCCATTTCCTGAGTTAAGGCTAATGTTATTTTTCTAGGATTGACTGCTTGTGTCTCTGGCTACCAAGTTGCCAGAAGAGGCGATTTGGCAGTAACAGCTACAGAGTTTTTCCTGCAAACATATTCTCCTGAGTAAAAAAGTGTAAAAATTTTTATGAGTTTTATGGTGCAACTATTTTATCAGGCCTTTGATCAGTTCAAAAGTGATTCCTCCTTCACTATTCCATTATGCAACGGTAAAACTACATGGAACTACACTATCCCTCCACTCTTGTTCTGCAGTACTGACCCAGTGCCAAAAGGAGAGCAGCCAGTTCTTCCTTGTCAACAATAAAGTGAACGGAAATACTAGAAACACAGCTGTGACTCAGATGTAAATCCCAGAATCCCATTTATCTTTTAACTGTTTTATAAACAATTCTGATAAACTGCTGCTTCTTCTTACCTGTGCCATAGGTTTCTGGTTCTTTCTGAACACAGTGACCTTCTCTTTTGGAGTTTTGTTGTGTTCCAGCTTGCTGTTTTTTTCCTGTTATAACACAAACAAGAAAGACAACAAGACTTAATTCTGTGAGCCTTGTTATACAATCAAAGAATCATAGAATAGTTAGGGTTGGAAAGGACCTTAAGATCATCAAGTTCCAACCCCCCAGCCACGGGCAGGGACACCTCACACTAAATCATGTCACTCAAGGCTCTGTCCAACCTGGCCTTGAACACCGCCAGGGATGGAGCATTCACAACTTCCTTAGGCAACCCATTCCAGTGCCTCACCACCCTCACAGTAAAGAATTTCTTCCTTATATCCAATCTAAACTTCCCCTGTTTAAGTTTTAACTTGTTACCCCTTGTCCTGTAGCTGCTCTACGCCTGTCCATCAGTTCTGTAGCCCCATCATAGAAGGCCACCAGATTGGTCAGGCAGGATTTCCCCTTAGTGAAGCCATGCTGGCTGTCACCAAGCACCTTGTTGATTTTCATGTGCCTTAGCATGCCTTCCAGGAGAATCTGCTCCAAGATTTTGCCAGGCACAGAGGTGAGACTGACTGGTCTGTAGTTCCCCAGGTCATAGATTTTCCCCTTCTTGAAAATGGGGCTTATATTTCCCTTTTTCCAGTCGTCGAGAACTTCACCTGACTGCCATGATTTTTCAAGTATGATGACAGTGAACTTCATTCACCAGCTCCTTCAGGACCCGTGGATGGATTTCATCAGGTCCCATGGACTTGTGCATGTTCAGGTTTTTAAGATGGTCTCGAACCAGATCCTCTCCTACAGTGGGCCCAAGGTCTTCATTCTCATAGTCCCTGCATCTGCCTTCCAGGACTTGGGTGGTGTGCTCAGAGCACTTGCCAGTGAAGACTTGAGGCAAAGAAGTCATTCAGAACCTCAGCCTTCTCCAAATCCAGGGTAGCCAGTTCTCCTGATAGCTTCTGGAGAGGGCCCACATTGTCCCTAGTCTGTCTTTTATTTGCAGTGTAATTATAGAATCCCTTCTTGCTATCATTCACATCCCTGGCCAAGTTTAATTCTAACTGGGCTTTAGCTTTCCTGACCTGGTCCCTAGCTTCCTGGACAACATCCCTGTATTCTTCCCAGGCCGCCTGTCCTTGCTTCCATGAAAAAAAAATGAACGAAAATGAAATGAATGAAATGAAAACCAGATATTTTTTACTAGGAGGTTGCTATTTAGTCTCTCATCTCAAAGCTACTCACTCAGAAATGTTCAACTTTTTTTTTATTTTTAAGGAATTTCAAGATTGTGTTCCCTACTCCCTTTCAAAATCCATAGCTCTTTACAGCCGCAGGCATTAGTCCCATTCAGATACTGGTAATCTGTATGGTTGTTCCTATACAACCACAAAAGCTTAGCTCTTCACACTTGAACATCCTTTGTTCACACTATGGGTGAGCCAATCTAATGACCTGTTGACAACCAAATGGACAGCCCCATTCCTCTACTCATTCCGGTCTTCTTTAGACTAAACCGCTCTTAATGTTTCAGTATTTTCTCATGGGTTATGATTTTTGCCCTCTTCTCCCTGTTCTCTTCAGTTGGTCCACACATTTCCTGAACTGCAATGCCCACTTTTGGAAACAGCACTCCAAGTGTGACCCTGCATCACAGCAATGACTGAAAATGTCTGAAAGTCTGTATTTCTGCTCAAACACGTCAGTCTAACATCTGTCTTCATAAAAACAAGTATGACACTGTCAGTCCCTATTCAGCTTTTGATCTCTTATAAATCTCAAATCCTCTTCTGAAGAACGGACACCTAGGAGGTTGTTCTTTTTTCTGGTAGCTCTTCCTAACTATAATATCTTTAATTTTACACACTATAGTCCATTCTAAAAATGTTTCTCTAATGTCAAGACCACTTTCAATTTTAGCCTTTCCTCCAACACACTTCCCATCTCTTGCAGCTTTGTGCTGTCTACATCTTTTCAAATCACTGATGACAAAAACAAGTCCAACCTAGTCCAGCCCCTGTGTTCAAGCAGGGTCAGCTAGACTAGGTTGCTGAAGAATGTGTCCAGTCAAGTTTTGAGTATCTCCACTGATGTAAACTCCAGAACCTCTCTAGGCTAGGGTTTGACCACCTACATAGTAAAAAAAATGTGTATTCTTGTCTTCAGAGAGAATTTTGTGTGGCTTAATTTGTGCCCTTTGACTCTTGTCCTGTCAACAAGCACTACAGAGAAGAGTGGCTCCCTTTTTTTCATTCCCTCCCATGAAGTATTTATACCCCCTTGAGCCATCTCTTCTCCTGACTGAAGAGTCGCACCTCTCTCAGCCTGTTCTCATAGGAAAAATATTCCAGTCCCTTAATGATCTTTGCACCACTACACTGGACTCGCCCCAGTATGTCCATGTCTCTTTTCTATTGGGGAACCCAGAACTGGACATGGGAGTCCAATGTGGCCTCACCAGTGCTGACCAGGAAGGATCCCCTTCCTTGACCTGATAGCAATGCTTTTCCTAATGCTGCTTAGAATGCTGTTGGCTGCCTTTGCCACAAGAGCAAGTTGGTGGTTCATGGTCAGCTTGCTGTCCTGCAGGACACCAAGATCCCTGTCTGCAGAGCTGCTTTCCAGAAAGTCAGCCCCCAAAAGATTCCTCTCTGCTTAATTCTCCAGCCTGCCTGGGCCCCTGCAAATAACAGCACACCCATCAGGTATACCACTACTCTCTCAATTTTGCATTATCTGTGTACTTGCTGAGGGTGCACGCTGTTCAGGTCATTAATGAAAACTTTAAACAGTACTAGCTCCATTTTTTTCCTCTGCGGTACACAATTACTGATGTGCCTTCAATTAGACTTTGCTGCTGATTGCAACCCTCTGGGCCCAGACGTTCAACTGATTGGTTTTCAATCCATTGCACTGTTCATTTATCTAACCTCTACTTTGTCAGCTCATCTATGAGGATGCTGTGGGACACAGCACCAAAAGCCTTACTAGAAAGGATAACAGTTGGGCAGAGAGGAAGTCTGAAGTACCTGGAGGCTTGTAATTAGGAATTACAAGTTATTTGTATTACCTGAAATCTTTCGTTTCTTCTTTGGAGAGTCTTTAAGATCTTCAGTTTCCACTTCCTCAGATTTCCTCTTGCCTTTCAATAGTACTTCTCCTGCTAATGAGTAAGAACAGAAATGCGTCAGTCTCATTATGCAGTCTGGATTACAGTTTTGAGTCTGCTGCTGCCTCAGCTTATCCTTGTATTCAATAGTTTAAGAAAATAAGTAATTTTTTTTGTAAGGCACCTGGACACCAGTGGGCTAGACACAGCTTTTGGACTCAGTAATATTAATTCACTCCACACCTGCAATTCCACATGGAACATACAGAAGAAACAGTACCACAGCATGGCCTGGAAAAATGATACTCCCCAGGAAGAGAGCCACAAGGTGCTAAGTTATGTCATAAAAAGTTTATCCGCACACACACACAAAGGAGCACAGAGAAACAACAGCAGATGGGAAAACCAAAAAATATTCTGACTCCTCTCAGAATTTCCAGGCCTATCAAAGCTTATCTCCATGAACACAGAGAAGTACAGAAGCATAATGGCAGGCAGGGGAACACAAATTATGGACTCCAAGAAACAGACACCTTCCTCCCAGGTCTGTCCCAGGAGACACTCCAGGGTAAGTCAACGTAAGCCGCTCTCTAGAGCACCCTTCAGAAGAGGTAAGTAGGGGAGTGGTGAGAAGGGAGTGTGGTGTCAATACATAGTGTTACATGACATATTGTATACTAGTGAAGAGCAATTCACAATTACACCAAGACTGGGTTGTTTAGAAGTGGTATCATAGGAAGGGAAAGGAAGGGAATTAGCTTACCTGGGGAGGATCAAGTGTGGGAAAACAGAGGTATAAGAGGATAAAAAGGGCCACTTGCTTGTAAACAGCTCAGTATACAGGTCTGGTCATGAAAGACACCATATCAGAGGGACCAGCAATGAGCAGTGTCCGAGTGTGCGCCTGTCTGCAAGGAGGTGCACACCATGAACTGGCATAACTCTGCAGGCCTGAGGGGATAGTAGATCCATGTACTAGCAGTTGAGGAGACCAGGATCCAAAGGCCAGGTACTAAATAGAGTAAGCTCAGCTACAGGACAGAGTCACATTGCACATATATGTGCACATACAAATGTACATATATATATGTACTTCTTCTATATACACTCTTTCTATAGGCTTATCTTCTCTCACAACACATATTCATCCTGATCAGGAGGGGAGGGAAACAGGATGGAGGCTGTTGGTACTGTCTGTGTGACTGCTGAGCATGCCTCTTCATGTTGATCTGTGTGGCTGACTGTGAGTACATATTATATATGTGTACTTATAGCTACAGGAATACATGCCTAGTCTTGCTACTGGTTGGATATGGGGGTGTGAAGCTGCAGAAACTTCACTTCTATGAAGCTACTAGATTCAGCTCTCCCCACAACAGGATGGAATACAGATTCAGACTTAAAGATTAGAAGAAGGTGCATTAAAGAAGAGCAAAGTTTTGGCTCTCTGCTACACAAGCAAGTTTGGAAAACGGCTTCTAGGCCAGGAAATCTGAATGTCCCTACAATAACCTAAGACCCAAACCACTCCAAATCAGAAAATTGTGACAGAAGAAAATAAAAGAAATAAAATAATCCTTAAAAAAAAAAATTACCACCAACAAAAGCCATGTCTAATCCAGAATACTGTGCCTGGTTCCCTTCTGTACATCTTCGGTGTGGTTTGTCCTATTTTTAAAGCTCTCAAAGCATCTTTCTGACATGATTGGCAGAAGTCCTATACATATCTCTTCTACAGGTAGAACTGAGTTCAGCCACAGAATCATTAATTTTAATAGTGTTGTGGTTTAAACCCAGTCAGGTAACTCGTTCGCTCACTTCCCCCCTTCTTTCCCTCCCCCTGCTCCCGGAGGGACGGAGAGGAGAATCAAAAAGAATGCAACTCCCACGGGTTGAGATAAGAACAGTTTAGTAACTAAGGTATAACACAAATCACTACTGCTACTACCAATAATAACAATGATAATGGAAATAACAAGGGAAGAGAATACAACACCTCACCACCAACCAACCGATAACTCGGCGCCCCAGCCCCCGACCAAGCACGGACCCATACCTCCTCCAACCCTGCAGTCTCCCAGCCCTTCCGGCTAACTCCCAGTTACATCCTGGGCATGACGTGCTGTGGTATGGAATACCTCTTTGGTCAGTTTGGGTCAGGTGTCCTGTCTCTGCTTCCTCCTGGCTTCCCCTCCTCCCTGGCAGAGCATGAGCCTCACAAAGTCCTTGGCCAAACTAAAACATCGCTATCAGCTCTGTTCCCGAGCTGAAAGTCAAAACACTGCACTGCACCAGCTACCAAGGAGGAGAAACATGACTGCTACTGCTGAACCCAGGACAAATAGACAAGTCACTCAAAAGGAACTGTGTAACATTAGAGAATTTTACCTGTGTTTCTGCAGGGGAGGGAGTTTATTTCTCCTAACACACGACCAGCATTACCAAGTTTGCAATTTGTGGCTGAACTGCAGCATGCATTTCAGAAGTCATCTCATCTCTCATAAAAAAAGCAGAGAGAAAAACAGTTCTGCACTGAGCCAAAGTGATGGGTACCTTTTCTCTCTGAAGACTTGTTAACGCTGTTTTTGATTCCTCTCATTTCCAGCCAGTAAGCAGGCCTGCGAATGGTCCGCTTGCTCCTGGACTCTGTGCTGCCGTTCACTTGACCCTTTGGTGCAGCAGAAGAAATGCTGCTCACTGTCTCATTATATCTACTGTTCAGTCCCAGGACAGTAGTTTCCACCTCCTCAAACTGCTTAGACCTGGAAAACATCAACTTGAAATTGTATGCATATTTATGCATATATACACACACAACCACAATAACTTGACAGACAACATCCCTTTCATCTTCCCAAGTACTCTAAAACTTCATCTCACGGTTCACTGAATCTCCCAAGTTTTGTGAACTGAAAAGTGATACCAAGAGAAAACATCCTAAATATTATTTTTTTCAGTACATCTTTTAGAGAATGACATTAGAAAGCTATTGAGAGGAACAGAAAAATATATTCACTCTACCTCAAACCTTTCACTTAAGAAGAGAGCACAAGTTAATCTCAATATAAAAATATGTTTATCCTGAAGCAGTCAATGTTGAATATAAAAATTATTCTGCAGCCCATCATTTCAAAAGACATGTTTTCCATACCACAAAGGGCAAGGTTTCCTTCAGTATGTATCCCCAGAGTCAGAGCTGACACTATACAATTAAAAGACTTAACACTAGTAAGAATTTTAACAAGCAAGGTGTTCAGCAATGAAGACAAACTAGTAGTATATCCTATGAATCACATTACATTAAGACTGCTTTAGACTGGCCAGCAGCAGTTATTTTACTTCCTAGAGGTCAGAGAGAACTTTGCTTTACTATTTGCATGTACTTCTCTGAGTCCTGAAATGCATGGACATTTCCACTACTGTACATGACAGTAAAATCATGAGCTATGAAAGAAACACAGAGTATCTATTCTTCGGGCAAATACTGTTAACGTAAGAGCTATGAAGTTCACATGTTGTAACACATCAATCCAGAAATTAGGAAGTGGGGACATTGATGGTACCAGCTCAGATCAGTATACACCATGTTTAAGGAGGTACTTAAGAAGGATGGGTGGAGGAATTCTCAAATTAAAGCATTTCAGTTGCAATCACACTCAAAACACATAGATTTAGGAGTACCATTTTGTCTTGAGCATAGAATACTTATATTCCCAATCCTTTCCAAAACAATAAATGAATGCTAGTACGCCTTCAAGTGTCAGAAAAGCACTTTTCCTACAAACCAGTAAGCAAAGTCTGTCAACATTCTCATCACACAAACCAAAATCACCTGCAACTTTTAAAATTCAGAATATTATGTAAAGGCCAGATATGGTTTTCCAATATGAATCTCTCTTTTTTTTCTTGCCCTCAGTCAAACTAACAAGAAACATTCACATACTTTTTGCTTCCCAGAGACCTCTTGACCTTCTGTTGTCTGGGATGTCCAGGCCTGGTTTCCTAACAAAGTAGAACATTTCACATTAGCAGCGTAATTATTCTTTTTTTTTTTTTTTTTGCATGTTTTACTTTTCAGTTATACACAGTCACCTGCACCTTGAGGATGCGCACATCACCCTTTGAAAAGGAAACCACTGCTTTCTGCAACAAGGAAGTGTTTAATCTTGTCAACTCCATCTGAATTAGAACAGGAATCAAAATAGGGATGAGCCCATCCACACTCTGCATATGAAAGCCAAACATTCCTCTTTCAAGGGGGCTTGATGGAGTATTCTTTGTCTCCAATTCATTTAGTGTTACCTGCTTTCTGCCTGGACTTTATGGTACAATGACAAATATTTTAGATCCCAGCTTACTAGCTTTTACTTTATTTTTTTTCCCTTAAGGAAATAATTCCTGTATTTCCCATGCCAAGAGTGTTGTCTCAAGTCTTTTTTACACTCTTTTTAATTTTCTGTCTCAATTATTTTGTCATTCCCCATTAGGTGCCCAGATGTTCATTTTACCCACATCACAGAACCATTCTTATTTAACAAACATTTCTTTGTCACTTATCACTTGTTGATTTTTCTGCTCCTATTAAGACATGTAATTTAACAGATACCATTGACATTCCCAAGTCAGTATAAACAACTCATATGCTCATTTGTATAAATAATAATGTTGTTCCTGGCCTGTGGGCAAACATTTATCACCTCTTCCACATACTAATAACGACCCAATGTTGCTCTTCATTGGGAAACCCAGGACAAAAATCTTGGTGATACAGACTAGAAAACAAAAATCACCGTGCAGTAGAAGCATATGAAATACCAATAACACGGGCAGTATTTTGCCATGTATAGGAACTGGTTAAGAAACTGCGGTGGAGAAAAGGAATAATATGGATAAGTTATGTACCTTCCTTACAGAAAAATGTACTGCACGTTATCAACTGGACCATGCTGTGAAATGTTTTAGTTGGAAAATTATTATTAAAAATAAATACTACACATCATCTGGGGAAAACAGCAAACAGGGACATGACAGAATTTGAAGATGACAGAAAAATACGATAACTTGTCAGATGACGATGAAAAATTTCAGGTGCTGTATCAAAACTAGGAAACAGAATTCAGGGCAAATGAAAACCACCACTTAAAAGGCACTGGAAAAAATAACTTCAAACTGTCTTTAATGCTCTTGCCTTCTAATTTATGTATAGGAACAAGCAATAGTTCACTCTTCCCAGGACCACAGTCAGTGAGAGACGGCCTAAGCACCAGGTAGAAAATTAAGTAGTGGGCACTGACATGAACTAGATGAATTTTTAAGCTGTGACTATGGAGTGTCAGGCTCTCTTGGGCCTGCAGCTTCAGTCTCCTCTCATGGAAAGATTAGGGAAGCAGCAGGAGAGAAATTCCCAACTGCTTGATCAATGACTTCACAATCATTTGGATCTGGTTCGAGACCATCTTAAGAACCTGAACCGGCACAAGTCCATGGGTCCTGATGAAATCCATCCGCAGATCCTGAAGGAGCTGGCAAATGAAGTTGCTAAGCCACTGTTCATCGTATTTGAAAAATCATGGCAGTCAGGTGAAGTTCCCAACGACTGGAAAAAGGGAAATATAACCCCCATTTTCAAGAAGGGGAAAATGGATGGCCCAGGGAATTACAGACCAGTCAGTCTCACCTCTGTGCCTGGCAAAATCTTGGAGCAGATTCTCCTGGAAGGCATGCTAAGGCACATGAAAATCAACAAGGTGCTTGGTGACAGCCAGCATGGCTTCACTAAGGGGAAATCCTGCCTGACCAATTTGATGGCCTTCTATGATGGGGCTACAGAACTGATGGACAGGGTAGAGCAGTTGATGTCATCTACCTGGACTTGTGCAAAGCGTTTGACACTGTCCCACATGACATCCTTGTCTCTAAATCGGAGAGTCATCAATTTGACAGATGGACACTCGGTGGATAAAGAACTGGCTGGATGGCCGCACACAAAGAGTTGTGGTCAATGGCTCAATGTCCAGCTGGAGACCAGTAACGAGTGGCGTCCCTTAGGGACTGGTGTTGGGACCGGTCTTGTTCAACATCTTTGTTGCTGACATGGACAGTGGGATTGAGTGCGCCTTCAGCAAGTTTGCAGATGACACCAAGCTGTGTGGTTCAGTTGATACGCTGGAGGGAAGGAATGCCATCCAGAGGGACCTCGACACGCTTGTGAGGTGGGTTGATGCCAACCTGATGAAGTTTAACCATTCCAAGTGCAAGGTCCTATATCTGGGTGGGAGCAATCCCAGGCACAGCTACAGGTTGGGCAGATAAGAGATTCAGAGCAGCCCTGTGAAGAAGGAGCTGGGGGTGCTGGTCGATGAGAAAATGAACATGAGCAGGCAGTGTGTGCTCCCAGCCCAGAAAGCCAACTGTATCCTGGGCTGCATCAAAAGGAGCATGACCAGCAGGTTGAAGGAGGTGATCCTGCCCCTCTACTCTGCTATCGGGAGATCTCACTTGGAGTGAGATCTGTGTGCAGTTCTGGTGTCCTCAACATGAAAAGGACATGGAACTGTTGGAACAAGTCCAGAGGAAGGCCACGAGACTGGAGCACCACCTGTATGAAGACAGGCTGAGAAAGTTGGGGCTGCTCAGCCTGGAGAAGAGAAGGCTGCTTGGAGATCTCATAGTGCCTTCCAGTATCCGAAGTGTGGCTATAGGGACGCTGGGGAGGGACTATTCGTTAGGGACTGTAGTGGTAGGACAAGGGGTAACAAGTTCAAACTTAAACAGGGGAAGTTTAGACTGGCTATAAGGAAGAAGTTCTTTACTGTAAGGGTGGTGAGGCACTGGAATGGGTTGCCCAGGGAAGATGTGAATGCTTCATCGCTGGCGGTGTTAAGGCCAGGCTGGACAGAGCTTTTGGTGACATGGTTTAGTGTGAGGTGTCCCTGCCCATGGCAGGGGGGTTGGAACTTGATGATCTTAAGGTCCTTTCCAATCCTAAGTATTCTATGATCATATCTTGTCTGCTTTGGAAGAAAAAGTCAACTGCATGTTTATGTTCGTGTAAATTTGCTATGGTTTACACACCTGTAGTAGTGCAAACAGCAGTGTTTGGGAAGCCCCTACATCAGAAACATGGAGAAACATCAGTGAGGAGCAGCTGGAAAAAAATTAGGCCTGTAAAGTTGTAACAACAAAACTGAACAAGAAAGTGGGTGCAGTGAGCTGCAATGAGCTGGCCTAAGCTACCATTAGAAGAACCTTGATGACTGACAAACATGGCACATGTTGTAAGACTTTATTTTTTTTTTAAGAACTAACAAATTTTGCATTAAAGATTAGCAAAAAGAATTTAGGCCACAGTTATGGATCTGTGATAAATAAAGGACAGTACAATGACCTTGTTTAGCCTCCCTTTCTGAGAAGTTGATAGCAGAAATTCTGAAGGAAACTTCTAGACAAACTGGTGTTTCAATTTTGAGTGCTTTGTTATTTAACCACTGTACTTCCCACTTCAAAACAGAAACCTAACGTTTAGGAACACTCGAGGGCTAGACATCTGGAAAACAAAAAAAGCCAACTTCCTTGCACAGTTTAGAAAAAGAGGAACAACGATCTAGAGCCTGAGAAGACAAAGAAGCTTCATGTACATGGGGCCATTTCAGTCTCCCTATGGACCACAGAACATTTCTGTGACCTGAACATGTCCTGCTGCTGGAGATAGGCTGTTCCACAGGCACGCATCTGAAAAGATGGTACTTAAACAAAGCATAGAAACTCTCACTGAGGTCAGGAGACTGATGGAGTAACTGCCAGTGAGTCTGTCCTACAGCTACAGAGGTGTCTGTAGAAGCACTGCCATGTGCGTCCCTACCTCCGAGGAAAAACACCATGGACACAGACCAGCGTGACGGCTCAGCACCCCTCGGGGAACTCCCCGTTCCAGCCCCAAGTTTCCATTTCTACGACATACTCCGTGGACAACCCTCTCCAGCAGTAAAGGCCTTTCGGACAAAGGGCAGGGCCGGTGCCGGCAGCGCCTGCTCGGGGTCCCTCTCCGACCCTCAACCGAGCAGAGCGGGGCTCCCCTCTCCTGCGGGCCGCTTCCCCGGTCCTCGGCCTCCCAACAGAAACCCGGCCACCACTAGCCGCTCTTCAGGCAGCCCGGAGGGTCCCGCTCGCCGCCCGTCCGCTCAGCGACATGCCTCAGCCACGGGGGGCGGCAAACAGCCAGGGGTCGGTTACCGAGCCAAGGCCGCGATGCACGCCCACAGCAGCAGCGGGAGCCCTCTCCTTCAGTCGTGAGCCCAGTGAAACCCGCGGAGCGAACCAGAAATCCAACCGCGGGTGTTCCGGTGGCGCCGGCCCGCTCCCACCACCCCGACCGGCAGAGCCCATCCCGCGGCTGCTTCCTGCCCCGTGCGTGGCATCCCGGGTGCCTCCCTCACTCCCGGAGCCACCGCTCGGCCACATCCTCCCACCCAGGCCGGCATCCCCGGTGCCGTGAGGACTACACGTACTCACCGAGCCCCCACTGCCCCCCATGGTGCTGCCGCCGCCGCCACGTCAGCAGACGCCCCGCCCTCCCGCTCACGGCGGCGGGGTCCCGCCCACTGGCTTCCGGCCGCCCCCTGACAGCGGCCGCCGGCCTCAAGGCAGCGGATGGTGTTGCGGGAGCACCGCGGCGGCGGCCAGAGTGTGGGGAGCACGGAGTGCGTACCCGGCCCGCGGCGGCACGGCCACAGCCGGGTCCCGTGAGCGTCATGGCAGGCAGCGGCGCGGCCGCCCTGTCGCCCCCGTCGTCTTCCCCGCAACCCGGAAGGACAAGTGGGTGCTGGGAAGATGGCGGCGGCGAGCGAAGTGGAGGCAGGAGCGGCTCCGGTGTGCGTGCTGGTCCTGGGCATGGCCGGCTCTGGGAAAACTACCTTCGTACAGGTGAGGGGCGGTCGGTGGGCTATGGGGAGCTGATGGTTTCACCAGCGGGGCCTGACGCCTCCTTGTGTCTCCTTAGCGACTCGCGGTGCACCTGCATGGGCAGCTCTGCCCTCCTTACGTGATCAACCTGGACCCCGCCGTGCACGACCTGCCCTTCCCCGCCAACATCGGTGAGTCCGCCTGCCCTATCCCGTGGTTTTGCGATGCGTAATTAAAGTTATGTTGAGTATGCTGCTTTTCACGTGTTTCTTGGGGTGAGGGAGCGGTGGGGTGTGTGAGGTATTTGGTTAGAGCCACAGAATGGTTTGGATTGGAGAGGATCTTAAATCTCATCTAGTTGTAGCCCTCTGCTACGGGCAGGGCACCTTCCGCTAGAGCAGGTTGCTCCAAGCTGCGTCCAAGCTGGCCTTGAACACTGCTAGGGATGGGGCAGCAGGTTTGTTTTTATTGTCTTTAAGAGATTTCAAGTCCTAACATAAGAAGGACTTAAAGATTTGGTTTTTAATTATTTCAATTTAAATTCTTTCTCCTACCAACCATTAATTTAGGATCAAAGGCATTCTTCCATCGCATGTGTACTTTAAAAGGCATTGATTTTAGAGAAAATACGTTACTAGAACAGACTTTATGCTTAGCCGTTCCAAAGGGCTTAATAATCTTTAGGTTTCTAAGGGTCCTGTCTCTTAAACTTTATGCAGTTTGTCACTCTCTTCAGAGGATAAGAAAGGTAGTGTTGACACAGAAGTTGTTTTATTGATGTCAGTTGAATAATGAGAGTATCTGTTCCAGTGGTGGATGTCTAGTAACATAGTTAGATACATATACTTTGTTAACTGGTCTTGATTAGCTGAGAATAAAATTCAACTGAAGCAGTTACAGCTAAATACTTAAATTGGTGGTGTTTCACATGATTTACATTGGGTTTCAGGTGTGTGTTGAGAGCATAGCTAATCTATGAGATTTTATTCTACTTGGGAGATTTTTCCTGATGGTGCTAGATTTATTACTGAGACAAAAGGAGACTTGCTAAAAGAGCTTTCATCTGTCAGCAAATTGATGAAGAAGGATATTTTAAAAGTAATATCCTAACACTATTTATATTTCTTTCTCTTCTAGATATCAGGGATACTGTGAAGTACAAAGAAGTCATGAAACAGTATCCTTTTCTGTCTAAATAATGATGATTGAAGTCTCAGATTTTGTGAAAATAGCCTGTCACCTCTGCACACTCTGATGAAGGATGCAGGAGGTGGTGTGGATTGCAGTAATGTAGAATACTGTGTGAAGATCAGTAGTTTTTGACCACGTGTTTCTTGCATGTGAGGTTAGAAATGAATGTTCTACCAGATCTGATGCTCCTGTTCCCTGTTCTTTTGAAGAGCTTTTATCTTTCTTTGCGGAAGCCAGCAGCCTTTTCCTCATGCTTTAACAAAACATTGTTGACCATATACAATATATAACAGTTTTCCACATTGTTTGACCATAATCCAAGTACTGTTACCTTTCTGAGTCTCAGTCGCTGGACTTTTAGCTTTTGCTGCACTGTAGTTTGGTGGCAGTAACGTTACAGTAAAATGACTGCACTTCAGAAGGGTATGGAGGTCTTTTGTTTCCTAAGTAAAAGCTTGTGCAGATGAAGATAATATATGGTGTTTGGATTTGATTTGCTATCATGACTATTACATTTAATATTTAGATGGGATGAAGATGGTGGGGGATATGATTCTTGATTTTTGGCTGTTGTGTGATTTAGAGTTACCAGCAAAGCATCCATGTATAAGTTTCAGTTTGGTACATAGATGGATTATTTGCTTTACTGTGTCTGCTTTCCTGAATGCAGTGTCTAGATACGGCCTGGGCCCAAATGGTGGAATAGTGACCTCTCTTAATCTTTTTGCTACAAGATTTGATCAGGTATGAGGTTGTTCCTATGTGATAGTGTGCTATGGATACTGTGCTGGGAGACTACAGGGGTGGTTTGTGTGTTTGGAGTTAGGATATTCTCTGTACAGAACCATGTGTTTTACAGTGCAGCAAAACTGCATTAGCTTTCATTTGAGATATTTCAGTTTTTCAGCTTTTTTAAAAGTAAAATTTCCATGTGTGCAAAACATTCTTTAGTCTTTGTACATACCTGTTCTATTGCACCATGGTCTTTCATGTGGATGCTGTGCTTGTGAAGTAGGGAAGCTCAGTTCTAGAAAGGGGTTAAGTTTTCCTGGGTTTGTTTGATAATTGCTCTCTTAAATCATAATGCTAAATCAGTGCTGAGGTAGGAATTTATGTATCAGTGCCCAGTCTCTTAGTAAAAAGCTAGGGAACAACTGCATTGTTACACCATTTCTTTAGTTGGGTATGAAAACACAAACAAAATCAGGATTGTCTTTGACCTGTGCAGTCTTAGGGCATTTTCCACCCTTTCTTAGTAGGGCATTTTCACACACTGAAAAGCTTTAAAAGACTTTGATCTTCTTTTGATATGTACATGCAGCTGTGGAAGTTAATGCAGTTACAGTTAGGAAATTATTATGAAAGTTTCCTGTTGTGAGCCTAAATACAAGTTATGCTTTTTTTTCAATCAGGTGATGAAGTTTATTGAAAAAAGACAAAATGCATCCAAGTGAGTACATTCTGCCAAGTTCAGTTTTTCTGGGATCGGTGTGGGAAAAACATGTCAAATCCTGAAAATGCGCTCTGCGTGTTTTCTAGTTGTTTTTCAGCTTTGGCATGAATGTGATGTGGAAAAGGTCATAGGATTAAAGCAGATAAACTAGACTTTCTTTAGATACACTGAAGAAATGTCTGCTGATTCCAGTTCTGCTTTTCTTGTCTTCCAGTAGACTGTAATTTCATGCGCTGTTCAAACAGGCAATAATTCTTCTTTTGAAGAGTTTGCAGTACTAAGTGTCTATCAAATTGAAGCCTTTAACATTAATAGAATCTGAGGGGAGTATGTGCTTCTTAGTTACGAAATTCATACAGGAATTTTTCAAGCATGCCCATTAATCTTGTCACTGTCTGGGAGAAGCTTTCCTGATCTGTAACAGAATAATCATGTCATTTGCTGTTACGTGCTTGTGGTAATCTAGTTGGAATAGGACCTATTGCTTAACTAATTTTCCCTCTGGGGGGGATGACTTCTTACCAGGTATGTTCTTATTGACACACCAGGGCAAATAGAGGTGTTCACTTGGTCAGCATCAGGAACCATCATAACTGAGGCCTTGGTAAGTGCTTTCTACATAACTTGACAGTCATGTAGAGGCTGTGTGAAATAAATAGCTGTTGAACAGCATGTACTTCTAATCAAAGTATGTTTTACTTTGTATTTCCAGGCTTCTTCTTTTCCTTCAGTTGTTGTTTATGTGATGGACACCTCTCGCAGTACTAACCCTGTTACCTTTATGTCCAACATGCTGTATGCCTGCAGGTAAGAAAAGATGAAACTGCAGTCTGTGTGCTCTGATTGCTGTGTCTCTTTGGAACTTTGGAGGGGAATAACAGAATGGTTTGGTTTGGAAGGGACCTTTAAAGACCACCTAGTCCACACTCCTTGCAACAGACAAGGACATCTTTCACTAAATCAGGTTGCTCAAAACCCCGTTAGCTTTTAGTGATGGGGCATCCACAGCTTCTCTGGACAACCTGTGCTAGTGTCTCACCACCCTCATTGTAAAATATGTCTTCCTTATGTCCAGTCTAACCCTACCCTATTTCAGTTTAAAACCATTCCTTGCTCTGGTCTGTGTCTCCATCTTTCTTACAAGCCCCTTTATATACTGAAAGGCTGCAATAAGGTCTCCCTGAAGCCTTTTCTTCCCCCGGTTGAGCAACAGACCCGTCTTCATGTTAAACCAGGGACTAAATACTTATGTAAAGATCAGCATATCTAGAGCTGTCATAATTCATCACAAATGTTGGTAAAAGATTTTTAAAAAACTTACCAATCCTTGTACCAAGGTCAAAAGCTGACTATGCATAAGGTGTCTCATTAGATGCTGCAATTTCTGACAGCGTTGATCTAGATGCTAGAATACATACAGTGAAATGAATATGTAAGCTAGTGTTTCAAGGTAACTTTGCTTTACAGATGTTTTGACTTACTTGAATTCATTGCTCGGTTCACAAATAGCATCTCAGAACCTAAAATTTGAGTAAAAATATTTAGAAAATGCGAAGAGAGTTAAAAACAGATCTGATAGTCATGGAAAACAGTAATCAAAATCAACTGAGTGTGTGGGAAATTTTCTATCTTACAAATGCATGCTGACATCTGGGGAGCATATTTTGTTCACCTATGATAAGCAGGTTCTGGGTAAAAACTACATTCTAATTGATGTGGAGGAAAATAATTATCTTTTGAAATCAAATATATTCAGTTTTGCACAAGTCTGGTCTGCCTTGTGCTTGTTTGCTGTTCTAGTGAGATTTAAATTAATTTCACTTTTTTGTGTGTGTGTCCCACAGTATCCTGTATAAGACAAAGCTGCCTTTCATTGTTGTCATGAACAAAGTAAGTTAAAGCTTTGGTTTCTGTGTCCTAGTGGAACATTGTTCTGTTTAGCTTGCTTTGCTGTAGTGTCTTTGTCTTACTACAACAATAGATTTTTCTAGAAAAGAGAGGCTGGGAGGGAGCTGCAAACTGAAAACTGAATCTAAAAGGGTCTTTAGTATATAAATGCTCAAGAAAAATCAGGGATGTTACACCCAAACATT